GCCCCTATCAACACTATTAGGTTATTTAAGAGGCGGGACCTCCTAATTTAACATCCGTCTCCGATAGGACCGAGCCAAGTGGGAAGTTCGTGTAAAGTGCCCTTCCCAAGGACACAACGTCGGACCAAGCTGAGGCTCGAACCCCCGAACTCACAATCTCACGATTACGAGTCCGGTAGTTAAATACATAAGGCAAACGTTTTATTATGAACGGATAGAAACCATGTTCCAGACAGGAAGCACGTCTGGTATAACAAGAATTCGGGAAGCACTGCTTCTATGCACGAATAAGTGAGTGGTTCTTCGTGCAGTATCTATTCGGAGACGTCTCCAACGGAGATAGACCAGTCAAAATGCTTTGTGCCTCTAGACCAAGTAAAAAAATCTGAGGGGTTGCAGGGCCACCCTGTTTCAACCTATAATTTGATATTATGCAGTTAAGTTTGAAATTTTCTTGAAAATAATTGATTTGCGAGTTTTAGTGGCTATATGTGTGATCTGCAGCAAATAATGCGCAGTTTGACCCACCAAAGTAGTGCATCTGTCTGCGGGAGTGCGTCTCCGGATAGTTCCTGTGTGCTCGCCGGAGACGTCTCCGAATATCTGCTTCCGGTCTTCGAATTTATGAGTGAGAAGGGGTGGGGTCTGACAGCTTAATGTATGTGAGTGTGTGAATGTGCACAACTGTATGAGCAGGTATTTTAATAGGTGTATGCACGTCGGCACGAATGTGTTTGGTAAATTGCTGTTTTTAAAACTAAACTTTTACTCTAAGGGTTTAAAGTTACCATAGAATAAGACCACGGCGACCTACGAACTACAGTTAATATAACCAACTTGCGTTTTGCGCGCTCAAATTATGCACTTATATTATTATAATTGTGCACAGTTCCGAACGCCGTAAAACTCCTTCTATATGTGAATGTGAGGGCGGGTGTGGGGTGGGTAAGGGAAAGAGGAAGGAAAAAAAACAGTTATCAAACTGTTTTCATGCTTACAAAACATACTCATGTGTCACGCAACCCTTGTAAAAACAACCTTCTACCTTCCATTGTAGTGTTCATGAACATATTTTGTCAATAATTGGTCTTACATGAATCAGAGCGAAGCGGATAGTTAGGTGAAGCTTCGATATAAAATGTGAAATTGTCAAAACTCACAACTCGAAGACTAACAATAATTGTAAGTGGAAACTCATAGTGTCCTTCTCAGCCCACACGACTGGATAATTGCGCATACCCTTTCAGAAACCACATTTTGAGTCTGGTTTGATTCCCCAAAGACTGGTCAGTCTACCATTCAATAATATTCACTCTACCCCTCTCTCACCTCCACTCCACCACCTCCACTCTTTATCACACCATCCCCTCCCCGTCCCTTCCTCTCTCTCTCTCTCTCTCTCTCTCTCTCTCTCTCTATCTCTCTCTCACACACACACACACGCGCGCGCGCGCACACACTCACACTACATTATTCTGATCAAAGATCAGAACAATTATACCCTGGGCATGCTTCCAATGTACAAATTAGAGATAATTCGTCCAACATGCATAAAAGCATTTTGAGCCAATGCTTGTTACTGAGTTGTTACGTGATGGGTGTGCATTACCATAATCGTGCTGGTTCTATCATTACTATTTGCATTTGTTATTGCTGTTTTTGGTTCCCACTTTTTCTTCTCTTCAGAGTAAACTTTGTTTCTTTGCCTTTGTATCTTTACCCTTGTCCGTATTGTCCGTCAGTCTGTCTGTCTCTCTATCTTTCTCACTCTCTCTTTCTCTCTCTCTCTCTCTCTCTCTC